AAAACTAAAATAATGACTTTATTCAACAATTCGTACGTAGAAAACGTATCCGCTAGGGCAGAGTAAAAAATATCGATATCTCGATTTTAATCGATTCTCATTTTTACGGAACGATATCGATTCTTAAATCCCAAGAATCGATTAGTGTAGCCTGTTTTCAGTTAATGGACGGAACATTGAAGAGCACTTCCCATCCAGCATATCGCGATTACACGCTGCTGGTGCTCTCGACCGCTCTGTTTGGGAAACCGCCGTTCAAGAACGTGATTGTCAACGGCCTGGTTCTGGCGAGGTAACGCACACACTTCGGCCTGCACTGACTCTGTCCTCAGGCAGGAAAACAGTACCGCTCTCTGACCTGGAATCTCTGCCAATGTGTGTGTGTGTGTGTGTTGTGTGTGTGCAGCGACGGACAGAAAATGAGCAAGCGTAAGAAGAATTACCCCGACCCCAGCCTGATTGTGCAGAACTACGGTGCCGACGCGCTCCGGTGAGCAAGCTACACATCATACACAAACACAAAACATTCTCCTTCTGCACACTATCTACGAATATTAATCTGCGAGCCATTTGAAATCCCTCTCAAGCACATGTTGTGACATGGGCGTATGGGTAATGAATAATAAATATTTATGTCCATCCATATGGGGCCGTGCACACTAAACGCTCTCACATATGATATGACCATGACTTTTACACCCCTTTAGTTTGGCTTTTGTTTGTTGTGTTAGGGATTGGTGATATATTGAATATGTGCAATATACTGTATACGATATTATTTTGAAATAAAAACGTTTTGAATTTGAAGATCAGGGTACATTTAAATTATTTTGTCTTCTGGGAAACATGTAAGTATATTCTGTAGCTTCTGAAGGGTATAATATTTAGGCAAATCAAGAAAAATGTACTCATCTCCATTCTGTTAATGCATGGTTTTTCCTTCTGGAGCATCAGTGAGCGTCTGATCCTTCTGTTATAGCTGCATACGAGTCCCTCAGTTGTCCTCAGCGTGAAAAGATGCATCTCCAAATCATACAGTCATTGCTGTATAGGGCTCAAATACACAAAAATGCTGGAAAACCAAAGAATTTGTGGGAGCTGAAGGATTTCTCTGAAGAACAGCAGACAGTTTAACTGTTCAGAACAAGCAAGGGACTCATGAGCAACTATCACAAAACAAAAAAAAACTGCTGTGGCTCATTTAGGTAACAACACAGTATTAAAGGGATAGTTCACCCAAAAATTTAAATTCTGTCATTGATATTTTTGATGCATTCTGAGAGCTCTCTGACCCTCCCATAGACAGCAATGTAATTACCACGATCAACATCCAGAAACGTAGCAAGGAGATCGTTAAAATAATCCATGTGACATCAGGGGTTCAACCGTAATTTTACAAAGCTACGAGAATACTTCTTGTACGCAAAGAAAACTAAAATAATGACTTTATTCAACAATTCGTACGTAGAAAACGTATCCGCTAGGGCAGAGTAAAAAATATCGATATCTCGATTTTAATCGATTCTCATTTTTACGGAACGATATCGATTCTTAAATCCCAAGAATCGATTAGTGTAGCCTGTTTTCAGTTAATGGACGGAACATTGAAGAGCACTTCCCATCCAGCATATCGCGATAAGCATTGTGCTTTGGTACTTTAAATACGAAACAAAGTCTCAGAGTTCAAATTCTGTCCATTGTATTGCAGTATTCAAACAATAAATGCCGCTTTGGCGCTGTTTAATGTGAAGTGACAGATCGCTGTAGCGCCTCAGTTCAACAGACGTGAACAGATCATCTCCTCCACATTAATACCAGTTTCAGCACAAAATAAACATGACTAAACATCCGAAGGTAAGTTAAAAGAAAGAGTACAACTTCACAATCCGTATCCTGTCTCATGTAATCGCTCAATCAGTGTTTCAGCCGTGCAAATACGTCAATAATGTCTTGCAAACAGTGTGTCATGCAACGTCACATTTAGAAAAAATGTATTCGGTGACCATAAACTCAGCTAGAAAAATAAACTGTAGAGAGGGGCATTTTGCTGAAAATATGCACCATATAACATATTCATTATCATTTTTGCTGTTCTCCAATGTTTAATTCATGTTTGAATAAATTCATAAATATATGACAGACATCATAAATAACGAATTGAAGTAGAAATATTATATAATTGTAACTTTATTATTTTAAAAACTTCATTAGGTGTAATTTTAGCAGTTGTATAGCCTAAAAATCAGTCAATTTTAACCTTCAATATTATAGTAATGTAGTACCCACTGACTCTCATGTATATTTTACAGCATTAGTTGAGAGATTTGTATGTACTGTACCTGATATATGTCCAAAATAATCGATATTGAATCGAATCGAATTGCAAGCTTGTGAATGGGAATCGGATCGTGAAATTTGTGTCAAAACCCAGCCCTAGTATCCGCGTGGCGCAGCTGACACAGAACAGCATACGTTGTTTATGTTCACTGGATTTCACTCGGCTCGCAGGGCATCGTTACATCCCTACTCTTTCAGCTCTGATTTCATCGTTTCTGTCCCTCCAGACTGTATCTGATCAACTCCCCCGTGGTCCGTGCTGAGAACCTGCGCTTCAAAGAAGAGGGGGTTCGAGACGTGCTCAAAGACGTCCTCCTGCCCTGGTACAACGCCTACCGCTTCCTGGTGCAGAACATCCAGAGACTGCAGAAGGTACCGGCCGGATCTCCTGAAGCACAGAGCCTCTCTGATCCACTGAAGCCATTCAACTGCAAGACTTTGCTCAGTCTGCGCAGAACGTTTAGTTTAGTTCAGTTTTTGTGGCCTCAGCAGCAAACCGCTTGAAATCTGACATTCACAAATTGAAACCACAATCCATATGCCGGTCTGTTTTTTATATATATATATATATTTTTTTTTTAAGTAAAGACAAACGACTTCAAATGAATGCTGTTCTTATGAGCTTTGTTCATCATCAAATCCTGAAACACAAAATGCACCACTGATTCCACACAAAATATTAACTGTTTTCAACATTATAATAATTAGAAATGTTTCTTCAGCAGGAAATCAGCATATTAGAATGATTTCAGTTCGGCTTTGACATCACGGGGGGAAAAAAGATCACATTTTAAAATATATTAGAAGAAAAAAGTTATTTTTAAGTTAATCAAATAAATTCAACCTTGGTAGCATGCGAAGGCGTTTAGTAAAGTTCATAATTTAAAACATAAAATATAAAACCTTTCAATATTTTAACATATCAGAGTAATAAACTTAAAGTAAAGGCTCATAGGGGATCATCGGTCAGAAAGTTTTGGATACCTGATGTAGTTTTACTGACATCCTCTCATGCGTCTTAAGCTCAGCACCTTTTTTTTTGTCCTCTCTTTCTACACACTGACAGCAACTCGGACTTACTTTCCTCTGTGTAAGATGAAAGTGGATGTTTAGACAGAATGTCTTGAGTGCTACTTTCCTAAACATTACTAAGACATTTGTCATTGTCAAGGTCAGGCATGCTGCAGTGCATTTGATATTTGAATCGAATGCAAGCTCAAAGGAGCTTTGACGACTAGAAATGAGAAGATCTTTAGTGAGTAAGAACAAAAATATTCCTTTACCGGGTCACCATTTTAAACTGGCCATGATCATTTTCTTTCTTCCAGACTTCCCCTTGAGAGTCAGTAGAGTAGATGTGTCTAGATGTGCTCAGTGCTTGACATCGGTTTCTCTTCCAGTATGCAGAAATGAAGAAGCACACACACATAACCAGTATGAGCTCGCTCACGTCTATCTGTTCTCTGCTCTCATTAGGAAGAGGCCATCGAGTTCCTGTACAACGAGAGCACAGCCAGCGTGAGCGACAACATCATGGATAAATGGATCCAGTCTTTCACTCAGTCACTCATTCAATTCTTCAGAGATGAGATGGGAGGTGAGCCACCAGCGCTTACTCTCACACCAATCAATGCGTAACTCCTACACTTGAAAAGGTTTGACAACAAGGACAGTCTGAAATAGATCTGTTTTTGTGTGCTTGTGTTTCCAGCCTACAGACTCTATACGGTGGTTCCCAAACTTGTCAAGTTCGTGGATATGCTCACCAACTGGTATGTGCGGACGAACCGCAGGCGGCTGAAGGTGGGCGAGATACGAGTCATACACAGGCCAATCTCACAAAACCTGTCGGAAATATCCTTGTTTCAGATTTCTTTATTAATCAAAAGAAAGAAGGAAGAATATATTTGTTCTAGCCTCTAGTTTTTCTATGGAAACCGCTTTGCTTGTGATCTTTGCTCTAAAAGTGGGCCACACTGAAAACCATTATAAAGGCCGTAAAACACAGAAAGATATCGCATCCCTGAATGTCTTTCATCCATATTGTGCGAAATGCACTTTGAAATTTCTGTTAAATCAATGCTTGGTCCATTTGCAAACAAGAGACAGACAGAAAGAAAGAAACCCATTATCAATGCATAAATTCTTATTAGGGTGCAATGGATAAGAAATGCATGCGAGTTTTCATCTGGTCTGATTTTTTATTATGATAGAAAGAAAATGTTTGCCGGCTTTTTCCTGCTTCGTTTTGTTGGTACATTCACTTGTGGCATCATTCATAAGATCATGTGTTTTATAACAACTTCTGTATTATTCTGCTTTGTTGATGAACGGGGCAACTGTGCAATCTTACAACTGCAATGTTGGTGTATTTAACAAATGTTAATCACCTTTATTGTCACTTGCGGTTTAGATGGACCCATTTTGCACATACGCCACAACAAATCCATTATTCCACAGTTATGCAAAACAGTTTTATGCAGTACTGCAGAAAGTGCTGTAGTGTTTTTGTGGTGTTTTGGGAGAAGAGAATGTCCCATGGGCCCTCTTTAGCTCCATTGTTCACTATTATAGAGAGTAATATGTGTGAGGTTTGGACAAAGCGGTTTGGAAACTATGAGGGGAATATTAGAGAAGGTAAAAAAAGATGTATAAAAATAATTTAACCCCCTTGAAATGAAAGACATTCTGGTGTTGTGAACAAAATTTGATGTAAATTTTATATAAACTTAGGCATTAATAAACCATAATAGAAGGATTTATTAATGCAAATGGTAAAGCTGAGTTAGGCAAATTGACTGTAAACATTTATGTAAAAAATGTGTATAAATAAATATTATACAATAATTTCTTTAATGGGTGATAATAATCACCCAACACATCTCGTTTGAGGCTCATGAGCTCAGCAGGTGCTTAAAAAATGAAAATTTGACATGTTTAGTGAGGTTTTCTCAGATGTTCCAGTACTACAAATTTGCTAATTTGTACTCATTTTGTTAGATCTCATCGTTTCTCATCAGTTTGGCTCGCTCAATTGTTCAAAAAGTTAGGTGTGCCCCAGGTGTTTGTCATAAGCCCGTTTGCATTTTCTAATATTGAGAAGCTGCTTCTCACTGATGAACTCTTTACATTAAATCTGGGTCTTTTCAGTTTATCTTGATCAATCTGTGCATGTTCAGCTCTCATCATAGAGCGTCTCTGTACATTCTGCTGTTAACATGAGTGTAAACACAGAGCTGGACCTGCAGGCTCACACATGATGCGGTGTTGTGACAGTGCGCTGTAGAGGCAGTGTGTTGCGTGCTATGTGCTTGCAGCTGTTAGCCAATCTCTCTCTCTATGTGTGTGTGTGTGTGTGTGTGTTCAGGGTGAGAGTGGTACTGAGGACTGCATGCGAGCCCTGGAGACCCTCTTCAGCGTGCTCTTCTCCATGTGCAGACTGATGGTGAGTCACGCCAGCGCTCGCAGCTCCTACATACTTCAGATGTAGAGAAGAGAAGGAATGTGGTCATTCTCAGTGGAGTGTGATGAAATGATAGAAGTGTAGCAATGCTGGTGGAAGAATTATGGTGCAATGCTAAAATTAAAATCACTAAAACCACTGGTTTGTATACTGGAAAAAATACTTAAATTATATTATCAATATACTAGAAACAGTCCCTAACTTAAAATGCAATTGTAACCTTTTAACGAATTTATTCCCTTAATAGTTCATGTAATTATGCTTGGTAAATGTATCTAGTTTTAAGGATGTTTATTTATTTATCTATCTATTTTTGGAAAACAAGTTAAAATGACAGATTAAGAAGCTGATTTTGCTGTGTAATAGTTGTAGAGCTGATCATCCTTTCATAACTACGAAGGCAGGGCGTCAGTAGAGCTCATTTACTGTGGTAATTAATAACTGACCCAATAGGTAATTGGCAAAATCATTTGATAGATAAGCAGGGTGTGAGACAGCCAATGGCCCATTTTCCTCTTCAGTGATTCTGAGTATTTAATGCTTTAATTAATCTCCATAAATCCTCATTGTTGAGTTATTGCTTAAGCAGGTGATGACAGATGTTCAAGAGTGAAAGGTTTAAGCTATGAGGGGAATATTAGAGAAGGTAAAAAAAGATGTATAAAAATAATTTAACCCCCTTGAAATGAAAGACATTCTGGTGTTGTGAACAAAATTTGATGTAAATTTTATATAAACTTAGGCATTAATAAACCATAATAGAAGGATTTATTAATGCAAATGGTAAAGCTGAGTTAGGCAAATTGACTGTAAACATTTATGTAAAAAATGTGTATAAATAAATATTATACAATAATTTCTTTAATGGGTGATAATAATCACCCAACACATCTCGTTTGAGGCTCATGAGCTCAGCAGGTGCTTAAAAAATGAAAATTTGACATGTTTAGTGAGGTTTTCTCAGATGTTCCAGTACTACAAATTTGCTAATTTGTACTCATTTTGTTAGATCTCATCGTTTCTCATCAGTTTGGCTCGCTCAATTGTTCAAAAAGTTAGGTGTGCCCCAGGTGTTTGTCATAAGCCCGTTTGCATTTTCTAATATTGAGAAGCTGCTTCTCACTGATGAACTCTTTACATTAAATCTGGGTCTTTTCAGTTTATCTTGATCAATCTGTGCATGTTCAGCTCTCATCATAGAGCGTCTCTGTACATTCTGCTGTTAACATGAGTGTAAACACAGAGCTGGACCTGCAGGCTCACACATGATGCGGTGTTGTGACAGTGCGCTGTAGAGGCAGTGTGTTGCGTGCTATGTGCTTGCAGCTGTTAGCCCCTCTCTCTCTCTATGTGTGTGTGTGTGTGTGTGTGTTCAGGGTGAGAGTGGTACTGAGGACTGCATGCGAGCCCTGGAGACCCTCTTCAGCGTGCTCTTCTCCATGTGCAGACTGATGGTGAGTCACGCCAGCGCTCGCAGCTCCTACATACTTCAGATGTAGAGAAGAGAAGGAATGTGGTCATTCTCAGTGGAGTGTGATGAAATGATAGAAGTGTAGCAATGCTGGTGGAAGAATTATGGTGCAATGCTAAAATTAAAATCACTAAAACCACTGGTTTGTATACTGGAAAAAATACTTAAATTATATTATCAATATACTAGAAACAGTCCCTAACTTAAAATGCAATTGTAACCTTTTAACGAATTATTCCCTTAATAGTTCATGTAATTATGCTTGGTAAATGTATCTAGTTTTAAGGATGTTTATTTATCTATCTATTTTTGGAAAACAAGTTAAAATGACAGATTAAGAAGCTGATTTTGCTGTGTAATAGTTGTAGAGCTGATCATCCTTTCATAACTACGAAGGCAGGGCGTCAGTAGAGCTCATTTACTGTGGTAATTAATAACTGACCCAATAGGTAATTGGCAAAATCATTTGATAGATAAGCAGGGTGTGAGACAGCCAATGGCCCATTTTCCTCTTCAGTGATTCTGAGTATTTAATGCTTTAATTAATCTCCATAAATCCTCATTGTTGAGTTATTGCTTAAGCAGGTGATGACAGATGTTCAAGAGTGAAAGGTTTAAGAGGGAGGAAAACCAAAGAAAATCCTGGTTATGAGTTTGATGTCTGTTATTAACCTTGGCTTTGTGTCATGATGGTTACATGAATAGAGTTGTGCTTTCATTGCTGTGTTCCTTCACTAATGGCGTGTTTCTTGGTCTCAGGCTCCCTTCACGCCGTTCATAACGGAGCTGATGTACCAGAACCTGTGTCATCTGATCGACCCGGCGTCAGTGGAGGAGAAGGACACGGCGAGCATTCACTACCTCATGCTGCCGCATGTCAGGTACACAGCATTACTGCCACTGCTCATACAGACACGTCTTTGCTCTTTCTTGTCCTAGCATACACACTGCCATTCAGAAGTTTGGCATCAGTAAGACTGTTAATCTTTTTTTTTTTTTAATGAAGTCTCTTCTGCTCATCAGGGCTGCATAAGAGTTTTCTATTTTATTTTACATTAAACTAATTTATTTCTGTGATCAAAGCTACATTTTCAGCATCATTACTCAAGTCTAAAGTGTCACATGATACTTCAGAAATCATTCTAATATGTGTCCCTGCAGCACAAAAGCAGTGTTAAGTCGCTGGGGGATATTTGTAGCAATAGCCAACAATACATTGTATGGGTCACAATTATACATTTCTCTTTTATGCCAAAAATCATTAGGATATTAAGTAAAGATCATGTTCCATGAAGATATTTTGTACATTTCCTACCGTAAATATATCAAACCTTAATGTTTGATTAGTAAGATGCATTGCTGAGAACTTCATTTGAACAACTTTAAAGATGATTTTCTCAATATTTCGATTTTTTTGCACGCTCAGATTCCAGATTTTCAAAGAGTTGTATCTCAGCCAAATATTGTCCGATCCTAACAAACCATACATCAATGGAAAGCTATTTATTCAGCTTTCAGATGATGCATAAATCTCAATTTCGAAAAATGTATCCTTATGACTGGTTTTGTGCTCCAGGGTCACGTATGCTGATTTATTATCAATGTTGAAAAAGTTTTTAAATCAATTTGACAAATTAGGTCAAAAGTAATATAAAAGAAACCAAAAAAATAATCAGATTATATTACTGAAAACGCGAGTGTGAATTCAGCAATTTTTATTTGGTTGTATAAAAAGTTGAAAAGAACAGCATTTATTCAAAATGGAAATATTTTAGGACAATATAAGTCTTTACTGTCACTTTTCATCAATTAAGCACATCCTTGCTGAATAAAAGCTTTAATTTCTTTGAAAACAAAAAAAAGAAAGAACCGGTAAAGAAATTTACCGACCCCACACTATTGAACAGTAGTGTATATTGTTAGAAAATATTTCTATTTTGAATAAATGCTGTTCTTTTCAACTTCTTATTCATCAAGGATAATCATCCCAAACTTGAATGGCAGTGTATATAAAACGGCTGTACACTGTATATCCTGCAATCGTTCACAGCCATTAACAAACACCTAGTGTTTCACAATAAATAGAACAACACCTTCTGCTCAGTTAAACTAATACAATTCTAGTGTTTTTAAAACTCTTTCTTGAAACCTCATTTATTGTCATTTTAAAACTTATAGTAGAATTTAAAACTATATATATATATATAGTAAAAACGTAATTTAAAAGCAAGTTAAATGAAGTGAGATGATGAAACGAGCTGATATTATAGAGAGGAACTCTGGAAACGAGTTTGAGTTGAACTTTGTAAGCAGAATGTTTCCATCAGTAGTTGGATGGAAGGAAACAGATCGATATGCTGGAGAAACTCTCCATCAGACGACTGATGAAGCAGATTAAACTCCATCAGATGCAAAGCTCAGTGTGATTCCACACAACCACTGATGCCTTCAGAGACGGTCTGATGGAAGAAAACTGTTTTTCCTTATTCCATGAACTTCAGGTGTCCTGCGGCTCTTAAAGAAGAGCGTTTGTGGTTTTATTAGCCGGGTTTACATCCAAAGTTGCGAATTTAACTTGTGTGCAAAACCGGAATATCACATAAATCATTTGCGTTTCCATCCAACAAGTCGAAGAGAACAAAATCGTCACTTCCTGATAAACTGGCACTATAAATCACTAAGAAACGTAAGAGAATATAACAATTTTCATATATAATAAATGACTTGCGCCTCAGAGCGAGCAGACGAAACACAATGAATGCGGTCAATGCTTTCGGAGGCGGATGCTGCTGTTTGGGAACGCAGTCGTGTGAGACAATTATACAGATATGCTTTGATGACAGACTTTTCTCGTGCATTTCTGAATGACCATAACAACATTTCAGATGCTGTGGAGTGAGATCGGTCCGCTGGTTAGTCAGGTTTTGCCGTCCCGTAGCGCAAAGTCACATGCCTTTTTTGATGCGCTTGGAGGAATTTATTCGCAAAATGTGTTTCCATCTCCCATTATTTTCGCACAAGTCAAAAACCACCTCAAGCGAGCGTAAAAAAACTTAAGGGATTTTTATTCGAAATTTGGCGTTTCCATCACTCGCGCATTAAAATAGGGTGATGGAAGCATAGCTATCGTGTCCGGTCCGATGTCGAGAGTGAAGTCAGGACGGTCCTTGTGTGTCCTTGTGTGCTGCTGACATGATTTAGCGTGTCCTTTAATGTCCGGCTGTAAACACATTTCCCACAGTACCTCTGTTGAGCTGGACTCTGGTTTGAGCAGTAAAACGCGCCGAAAGTCCTTCAACCTTCAGTCCGTCTCTGCTGCTTTTATTAATTCACGTAGTGTCCTGTGTTACTGTGCTCTGTGTGTATTAATGTTTCTCTCAGAGGTGACCTGCTGTCAGAGACGAGGACAAACTCCTCATTTACTGATTGAACATCTTCCTAATATTTCAATGAGCTGCATTTCACTGAACACTGTAACCGAGAAACAGTCCACAGACGGAGGTCTTTCCAGTCAACTTGATGCAAAGCTCGTAGTGTACTGAGGATGTTCTGTATACAGTGATTAGATTGCTTACAAAACTGTAGGGCCTTACTGAATTCATATTCACGTTTTAGGTAATATGTGACCCTGCAGCACAAACGCAGTGTTGAGTCGCTGGGGGATATTTGTAGCAATAGCCAACAATACATTGTATGGGTCACAATTATACATTTCTCTTTTATGCTAAAAATCATTTGGATATTAAGTAAAGATCATGTTCCATGAAGATATTTTGTACATTTCTCTACTGTAAATATATCAAAACTTAATTTTTAATTAGTAATATGCATTACTGGACAACTTTAAAGATGATTTTCTCAATATTTCGATTTTTTTGCACCCTCAGATTCCAGATTTTCAAATAGTTGTATTTCAGCCAAATATTGTCCGATCCTAACAAACCATACACCAATGGAAAGATCATTTATTCAGCTTTCAGATGATGTATTAATGTCAATTTTAAAAAATTGACCCTTATGACTGGTTTTGTGGTCCAGGGTCACATATAATCTGATTACTTTTTTGGTTTCTTTCATATTACTTTTGACCAAATTTGTCACATTGATTTGAATAGGATAACATTTGACCGTATTGATATAAAAATACAAATAGAAATATTTAGCAACAACTTGAAGTACATTAAGCATGACATTACATCAGTGTTTCCAAAATGGGTTTGTAAGTTTATAAAGTTCATAATTAAGTCATAAAAACATAAAACTTTCCAAACAAATGAAAGTAGTAGAATTTCTAAAACTGAAAAATTTAAAGGATAGAAAAGGTTGATTAGGGAAAATCAAGGAATTATGAACGGTTTACTCTCATTGTGTGAACAAAATGGAATAATCACGGAAATCAATGTAATAGTAGCTGTAATCTGATTATACGTATTTTAAAACCGTGTCATTACAAGAACTTTTTATTATTGTTTTATCTGTTTATGTTATTCAGATTACATATTAGTTATTACCCAGCACTAAATATGTGTAGTTTATGGTGTTTTTAACAAGAAGTCAGAATCAGGGCTTAAAGTTCTCCGGCACCGTGCCGGATCTCCGGCGTGCGCCGTTTGGCTGCGGGAAAATAAGATAGTCGTCCTACATTTAAAAACACTTGTTGATATCACGTTCGAGTTCATTGGTTCGCCTACCAATGTATGAGAGGAACACAGCTTTCACTCTCAGCCAAACTAACATTACTAGCCAATCAGAAGTCTTTGCACTTATAAACAGGAGACGCGCATAATAGTATCCAATTGCAGAGTCGCAGCTGATGAATAGAAAAGAAGCCTTGGTCTCGAGCGCGACACGTTGAAAATTTAAAATAAAGGCATATTACATTATGTATTTAACAGTGTTGTTCAATAAAACCATTTACTTGGTTTTGATACTTTATTTGAGGCCAATTAGTATTGCCTCATCGTTACTTTATATATAAACAGTCATATTAAAGCCTGCTTTGCCACTTAGTTCTATTTGTATTACTAAAAAAACATCAGATTACTCATTTGTCGAAATAATCAGTAGATTACTTGATTAGCAAAATAATCATTAGTTAAGCCCTAGATTAGTTAAAACATTTCAAAATACAACTGCACTGGTTTACTTTTTGTGATTAAAAGACAAATATTTTGTCATTAGAACATTTCTTAAAGTATTAAAACATTGTCTCGTTCTAGTGAACCAAGTATCTGCATTTTGTCTCGCCTCGTGAGCTAAGTTTATCATCACACCCCTAGTGTCTATGAGCGTGATATAGCTCATGATTTTCCAAGTGTATGATATAGCTTTCATTCTTCAGGTCAATCATATATTCATTAAAAAAAATCAGTTTGAATAAGGAAAGCGATAACTTTGGCGTAGTATCCTTTCAAATGTTAAAGTTGCCACAGTCATTGCATTCTTTGCATGTGCCGCACTTTATTTGTACCATTTTTTAAATTCGTTTATTTATTATAATTTGAAAGATAATAACAACATTGATAAGTGAGATCTGATTTTAGTCCTTGAAAACCAAAAAAGTAGTGCAAGTCCTGGAATTTTATTTTGCAGTATCTGTACGAACCCTGTTTAAGTTACCAGTTCTTGGACCATTTTAATGTTTTTGTTGTTGTTAATTGAACTGAACTGTAGTTTTGTGTAGTAAACTGTCTTTTTGTATATTTCCTATTTTATATTCATTTTCTAGTATTTAATTTACCATTATTTCTTTTGAACAAAGCAATTTCAGAAATGTCATGTTTTAGATTGTAGGTCATCTTGTACCCTGTCAAGGACAAAGCTAACCAGCAAAACTTGATATCAAAAGCATCCTAAATGTTTGCACCATACTGTAATGAGTCAACATTCTTGGTATTGCTGTTTCAAATATCCCTCCATAATCTGTAGTCTGAGCCTGTCAAGGGCTAATGGCAATGACCGATACGTTACTAGTTAGTTTCAAGGAAAATCATTTTCTTTTTTTGTTTGCCAAATAACTCTGTGTATGTGTCGGCCCCCGCAACCCCCGGAAAAAAGTTCAGGCTCTTTATTTTTCTTCTTGCTTTAACCCCTGCAGAAAAGTCAAACCAAAATGGAGAAATCAGAAAAAACATAAACTATGGATGAGTTTGTCCAATGAGTTTTCAGTACATCTAAAATAAACTACACTAAAACTAAATAAAAATAGTAAAAAAAAAATATAAATAACCACAAATTGAAAAACAAATATAAATGTATACATGTAAAATATAGAAAGCATATGGTTTAATTTGACTCTGTAAAGTAGGACTAATTAGCTTTTGGATTACTGCTAGTTGGTCAGACTAATTATCTCTTAACATAGTGGCTGTGTTTATGTAACTGGGTCACTCCAGCCCAAAAATAGAGTGAGACACCTGAATTATGAATGCTAAACTGAACAGAGATGAATGTGTATTCAGTGAGATCAGTGAACACAGCAATCAGTGACAGAAACTCTCGCAGAACATTCACTGTGTGACCTTCAGTGGCCTTTAACTCAAGCTAACTATTTATTTTATTAATGACTGTGTGAAGTCTTGCTCTGAATTTAGGGTCAAGCGTGAAGTAGGCTTGCCGTGATAGACGGTGCTGACGGTGATACCGGTGTTAAGCCGCAGCACCGGTTACGTCACTTGCCCACCGACCCCCGTCGTTTTGATTTTTTATAGTAATACAAATCCTTTAGTTCAGTAAAAGAACAGACACTACAATTAAAAACTGAACGTGGCTCACAGATTAGATTTCATTTATCACGTGAGGAGAGTGAGGCGAGACAGACGAGACGAGTGAGGCGAGACAGACGAGACGAGTGAGGCGAGACAGACGAGACGAGTGAGGCGAGACAGACGAGACGAGGGAGGCGAGACAGACGAGACGAGGGAGGCGAGACAGACGAGACGAGGGAGGCGAGACAGACGAGACGAGTGGGGCGAGACAGACGAGACGAGTGGGGCGAGACAGACGAGACGAGTGGGGCGAGACAGACGAGACGTGTGGGGCGAGACAGACGAGACGAGAGGGGCGAGACAGGCGAGAAGAGCGAGGCGAGACAGACGAGACGAGTGAGGCGAGACAGACGAGACGAGAGGGGCAAGACAGGCGAGAAGAGTGAGGCGAGACAGGCGAGACGAGCGAGGCGAGACAGACGAGACGATCGCGGATGATTTAGTTTCGAAACGAAGTGCAAAAGCGCCTGTTTGGCAATATTTTGGATTTTGAAAAGCCTGTTGACTTTTGCCGTTTATATAAGGTGATTTTGGAAGTTTTTTTAAACATTCGTTTCTTATTTAATTCGTTCCACATTGTTTGCTGATTTTTACTTTATTTAAACTTTGTGTCATTTATTTATTTTATTTGACATCAAGGTGTATGCCGTGCCTCCAAGCTTTCTTACTCGTTTAAACGTTCTACGTTTCTTATTTATTTGGTTATATATTATACATGTATACTTATTTCCAGTTTTTGTATAGACCTGTTTAAACTTTATGCAAGTAATTTGTTATTTTATATTAGGCATAGCCTGCCCTATAGCTAAAGTGAGTTTGACGTTGTAATTTTGTTGCATTCAAGCAATTGACGCCGACCTGCCGCTAATTCGAAAGTGAAAGTAAAATGCGCACGGCGCTTTTAAGCTATTTAAAAGCGAAGGAAATCGAGGAAAAGAGGGAAAATTCAAACGAACTAAAAACTAACAATTGCTTTATGCCGAATTGCCGCTATTTGAAAGTGAAAATAAAATGCGCACGCCGCTTTTACAAGCTATTTAAAAGTGAAGGAAAGCGAGGAAAAGAGGGTACGCCCCGCCCCCGCGGTGATACCGGTATTACCGGTGTTGTCACACGTCTATTAACCGGTGGGAAAATTTCCTCACCGTCACAACCCTAGTGTGAAGCGCTCCTTATTATGAGCCACTTGATTGGCTGTGGTTGTTTTGTTGTGTCCCAGCTCTTCCACAGCATGACATGAGTGTGTGTGTGTGTGTGTGTCAGGGAGTCTCTGATAGACAAGCGCATCGAGAGCGCTGTATCTCAGATGCAGTCGGTCATCGAGCTGGGCCGTGTGATCCGAGACCGGAAGACCCTGCCTGTCAAGGTGAGAGAGCATCGTGACGCTGCAGCAGTACAGCTTTGGTTGGAGAGCTGCTGACTGTATACAAGCATCTGCTAAATATCTAAATGTAAATATATATATATATATATATATATATATATATATAAAACATTAAAGTTTTTAAATATACTTATATATTGCAATAATTTCACATTCAGTCTTCAAATTAATGTAGAAATAACATAAATACAGTGTATTTTTAATATTTGTTTAGTGGCATCTTTTTTTATGACCGAAAGCCAGTATCACTGATACCAGTACTGCTGATGTCTGTAGGAAATTGTTTCTTCCCTTATGTTTAACCATTGACTATATGTAATGTTTACATTTACATTTAACATTACAGTGTAATTGAGAGCTATCAATTTTAACATTTATTAGACTTTAAAAAAGATCAACTTCTAATTTAAGTGAATTTAAATCAGTCTTAATTCTGGTTAAACCTACAGTTTTCTACAAATCACGTTCAGATAGGTTTATTTTAAAGATATCCAAATGAACTTAGCTTTAATCCAGTTATAACTAGTTAAGATTTGATTATACATCACTAAGAGGGCATAATTCTGTTTGTGACTAGTAGGTTCAACTTTGACTTGTCAAAGTAAAGTCACTGATATCTGTAAATTAATTTTTAAGTGCGAGTGAGTGAGTGTGTGTGTGTGTGTGTGTGTGTGAGAGAGAGAGAGAGAGAGAGTGTGAGTGTGAGAGAGAGTGTGAGTGTGAGAGAGTGTGTGAGTGTGAGAGAGAGAGAGAGAGAGAGAGAGTGTGTGTGCGTGTGAGTGTGAGAGAGCATGTGAGTGTGAGTGTGTGTGAGAGAGAGAGAGAAGAGAGAGAGAGAGAGAAAGTGTGAGTGTGAGAGAGTGTGTGAGTGTGAGAGAGAGAGAGAGAGAGAGAGAGAGAGAGAGAGAGAGAGAGAGAGAGAGAGAGAGAGAGAGAGAGAGAGAGAGAGAGAGAGAGAGAGAGAGAGAGAGAGAGAGAGAGAGAGAGAGAGAGAGAGAGAGAGAGAGAGAGAGAGAGAGAGAGAGAGAGAGAGAGAGAGAGAGAGAGAGAGAGAGAGAGAGAGAGAGAGAGAGAGAGAGAGAGAGAGAGAGAGAGAGAGAGAGAGAGAGAGAGAGAGAGAGAGAGAGAGAGAGAGAGAGAGAGAGAGAGAGAGAGAGAGAGAGAGAGAGAGAGAGAGAGAGAGAGAGAGAGAGAGAGAGAGAGAGAGAGAGAGAGAGAGAGAGAGAGAGAGAGAGAGAGAGAGAGAGAGAGAGAGAGAGAGAGAGAGAGAGAGAGAGAGAGAGAGAGAGAGAGAGAGAGAGAGAGAGAGAGAGAGAGAGAGAGAGAGAGAGAGAGAGAGAGAGAGAGAGAGAGAGAGAGAGAGAGAGAGAGAGAGAGAGAGAGAGAGAGAGAGAGAGAGAGAGAGAGAGAGAGAGAGAGAGAGAGAGAGAGAGAGAGAGAGAGAGAGAGAGAGAGAGAGAGAGAGAGAGAGAGAGAGAGAGAGAGAGAGAGAGAGAGAGAGAGAGAGAGAGAGAGAGAGAGAGAGAGAGAGAGAGAGAGAGAGAGAGAGAGAGAGAGAGAGAGAGAGAGAGAGAGAGAGAGAGAGAGAGAGAGAGAGAGAGAGAGAGAGAGAGAGAGAGAGAGAGAGAGAGAGAGAGAGAGAGAGAGAGAGAGAGAGAGAGAGAGAGAGAGAGAGAGAGAGAGAGAGAGAGAGAGAGAGAGAGAGTGTGTGTGTGTGTGCGTGAGAGAGAGAGCAGACACTCAACCTGCGTCCTTCATCTCCAGCCCCTGCCGCAATGGTTTATGGGTGGGCTGGGCCTCCGAGCTAAAATTAGCCACTCTGTCTCCGTGTCTGCCGCGCTCGATTGTTAAACCCCTCTGTGGAGAAAGCATTGGGCGTCACACGCCTGCCATTGATCAGAGTGCCGGCGTTCACCACGACCCGCTCCACTCACAAATATATTCATGAGGGAGACTCTGTGACTCGTGATGAACATACGAGCGTCGCTGTGGAGGCACAATCTGAGCTGGTTTTTATTCTGCTCTCCCAGTGTGAGAAACACAGCAGACGCTGCCGTCACCTGATGTAATGAACAGCCTCCACTGTAATACACTGAACACGAACCCTCGCTCAAGCCTCTCGCTTTAAATGAACAGTTCACACACAAACCTAAAACGCCCTCACCCTCGGGCCATCCAAGATTAGGTTGAGTTAGTTTCTTCATCTGATTTGGAGAAATGCAGCATCCCTTCACTTGCTCATCAGTGAATGCTGGGTAGTTACTGATTGCATGTAATCTAGATTACATAATCAGATTCCAAAAATTAACTTGTGATTAGATTATTTGTGACCCTGGAGCACAAAAGCAGTGTTAAGGCGCTGGGGGATATTTGTAGCAATAGCCAACAATACATTGTATGGGTCAAAATTATCCAGTTTTCTTTTATGCCAAAAATCATTAGGATATTAAGTAAAGATCATGTTCCATGAAGATATTTAGTACATTTCCTACCGTAAATATATCAAAACTTAATGTTTTATTAGTAGTATGCATTGCTAAGAACTTCATTTGAACAACTTTAAAGATGATTTTCTCAATATTTAGATTTTTTTGCACCCTCAGATTCCAGATTTTCAAATAGTTGTATCTCAGCCAAATATTGTCCGATCCTAACAAACCATACATCAATGGAAAGATTATTTATTCAGCTTTCAGATGATGTATAAATCTGAATTTCGAAAAATGTATCCTTATGACTGGTTTTGTGGTCCAGGGACACATATTACATTTTAAAATACTCGTAATCAGACTATGGTTACTTTTTTATTGGTTACGTTATTACATGTTATTCACACAACAGCAATAAGTTACTCACAATCTTTTATCTTTTTCCTTTCTAAAATAACCTAGCACTTGTATACATTCAGTTCCAGTTACATACAGGTCACTGCACTGATTCAATGATTAAATGTCATTTTTCTAGCACTGACATGATTTACATCTTGTGTCATTCACAGAGTCGTATGATTCTTTTTTTCCCATCAGGAGCTGAATGTCCGCCAGCTCACTCTGTCCACCGACAAGGACAAATACGGCATTCGTCTGCGAGCTGAGCCGGATCACATGGTGCTGGGCAAACGGCTGAAAGGGGCATTTAAATCTGTGACTGCATCCATCAAAGAGCTGAAGAGTGACGAGTTGGAGATCTTCCAGAGGACAGGCATGTACCGCATCACACAAAACCATCGCTCTGTCATCGTTTACTCCCCTCGTGCCGCTCAGTTCGTTCTCCTGCCGAACACACAAGGAGAGTTACTGGAAACCGTGATGAAGGTGAATGAGGACTGGGGCTGTCGAGATACAGAAAGGCCAAAAAAGTTCACTCTGAAGTCATACTTCGGCTTGTCAGGGTTTTCCTCGATGTGCAGCTTGTGAACATGCCAAAGAAAGTGTTTGGTGTCTAGTGAGGATTCTAGAGTATTGAGAATTATCATAGAAAATAATGAGAATTACAAACAAGCCCGAATATTTTTAAGGGATATCACTATCTTTCTTCCTTGTTTTATTTTTAACAGCAAACCTTGATTCTGCAGCATTTTGTTTGTCAAAAAAATAAAAGAATTAAGTTTTTGTTTGATTAAAAATTAAAAGATTAATTAAATTGTAGATGTTTTTATGCATTCGTTTTAATTTCCAGTGTTTATGAAAATATACTTGCATTAAATCATAAATCTAGAGAAATTAAAACAGACAAGACAGAATATAATTTTTATATAAAAAAAAAACTTTTTTTTTTTTTTT